ATTTAGGTTGCCTTGACAGGAAAACAATGCTGTTTTCTGGCAAGCCAGAGAGCTAAGGAAGTTAGCACTCAGTGGAGAGGGAAGCATAGCCTTCCAGGCTGTGACCAGGCCTCCAGGCTCAGGAGCCAGGGCTGTGACTTTGGGAAGGCCTTCCAGCAGGGCCTCAGACAGGACTGACTCTGGCCCCACCTGCCTGCCTGCTCCTCTGCCATCCACTCCCTTTCTGGCCACAGGATATCTAGAAAGTTAGGCTTGACTATGAAAAAGGGACTTTTATTGTAAATAAAGCTTAATTCCTTTGTGGGGTTATAATCTTTCTATTTATTTTTTGTGGGTCGTGGGGCTTGAACTCTGGGCCTGGGCACTGTCCCTGAGCTCTCCAGCTCAAAACGAGCACTTTACCACTTGAGCCACAGTGCCACTTCCGGGATATAATCTTTCTAATCTCAGCCTTTTAAAATCCACGCAGAGTAGCTTTGAGGCCCAGAATCGCCGAGCATTTGACACACACTCCAATGATGTCAGGTTGTGTGATCAGTAATTTTTATCTGCCTGCTCTGAGAGCCACGTACAGTCTTCCACTATCTCTACTTAACTCAGATTATAATGAAGATCTAACCAGTGTAACAAAGTAAGAAAACCAAAAAGCATAAGGCCTGGGAGGGAGTACTAGTTATTCAGTCAGTATGGTTGCCGATGTATAAAACCCAAAGCAATCTACAAATTAACTTTCAGAATTAGTGTGGAGTTTGAAGTGGATCATAGATTTAAGTGTAAGAAACTAAAGTTTCTAAAAGAAACTAAGGAAAGGTCTTCAGACAGGACCCAAAATTCACTAACCATTTAATAATGATTAAATGACCTTCACCAAAATTTAAAATTTGCTACTTATCTGGTGACATGATTAAAATGAAAAACCAAGCACAGACTGAGAAGACATTGTTGGTAACAATTACCCAACAAAAGATTTGTTGTCTCAGTCTTTTGTGCTGCTCTAGCAGAATATCTGAGACTGGAAAGTTAACAATGGAAAGGAATCCCTTTCTCATGATTATTTCACAGTTTTAAGGGCAGACCGTGAATACTCACAGGAGCCAAACTTGGCCTCTGAAGAACTCATCTCTTGCTTGTGTGGAGGAGCCTGTGGGCCAAGCCCACTGGTGAGGAATCTACCACCTTCTCCCCAAACACCGGTGGACCCTACTTCCTGGTATCTCTGTACTGGCATCAAGTTTCCAGTACGTGAACCTCATTTGCATCTGTGTTTTATTTGTATTTGTATTTTATTTGTAAATACACCATTTATAAGAACTCTTGCAGATCAACAATGAAAAGATGAACAAAGAACATTAAAAATACTTCCGAAAAGATTCACTGATGGCCAGAATAAACAGGAAATGATGCTCAGTGTTATTTTCAAGAACATCCAAATTAAAACCACAGTGAATTGCTGCTGTATCCCCAGGAGAATGCTGCTCAGGATGTGGAGACTGGAGACTGCGGCACGCTGGGGTTGGGGTGCCGCCCCCCGTGTTGGAGCTAACCACTGGCACAGCCACTCACAACCATGCACACTTCCTCCACCATCCTGCTCTCAGGATAAAAACATAAGCCCCTAAGGAGACCTGCTAGTTCATATCAGACCAGATGGTTCAAAGGGGTCAAAACTGGGACCCACCTGGCAGCAGTGGGTGAGGGCATCAACCAGGGTGGCAAGTCAGAGGTAGGACGCTGAGCAGTGACAGGAAGGAACAGAGCGATGGCACATCTCAGAGCCACACAAACATCACAAAAAACCATGTGGCAAAGGAAAATGAGAATGAGCCAAACTTACCTATGACAACAGGTTGAACACAAGGAACCAGCTCTGTCAAGAGCTACTGCTAAGGTCTGAATGTGTGCTCCAAAACCCACCTGTCGAAGCTTTATTGCCAGTGGAGTCATTAGAGGAAGAGTCTTCAAGAGGTTTTGAAGGTGAACTCCCAGGCAGAGCGCTTCATGCCCTTTCTGGCTTTCCTTCCCTCCTGACACTGGGGACACGGGTTCGAGGTACCGGCTAGTAAGCAGAGTGGCCCTCAGCACGAATCCCTCGGCCACCATGACCTTGGAACTTCCAAGACATCCAGAGTAAGTGTCATACCTACCACAAGTAACTAGATCAAAGTGCTTGTTGCAGTGGCAGGACAGACTAAAAACCACTGATAAATACACGCTTTAGAAGCTGGGCTGACAGCGACTTAAAATGATTCTCGATTAAGTGGATGTAAAATGTCACTTTATTAGTTACAAGTAAGCCATGTGTAAGATGTGTGCACACGGCAAGGGGGCGGGATGTCAGGAAGCAGAGAAGAGGCAGCAGGCTAGAGGCTCTGGGTCCCTGCTCCAGCCCCCATGTCCACATGGAGCCATGGGGGCCCCAGGGCTGAGTGGGGACCTGGCTCTCTTCTGGGCTGGACCCTGGGAGACTCTGTCATCACTTGCTGAGGGCTGCCTTGCTGAAAGCAGGAGGAATGGCTTCCCTCCAGGGACCTTCCACGAGCACAGACCTTCACAGGGCCTCAGGGTGCTCAGAAGAGGAGGGCAGGACCTGAGGTCCTGGCCTCCGTCCGACCCCATCTTGGTGTGCTACTGGCTGGCACAGTCTGGCCGTGCGGGCATGCAGATGTGGCGAGGGGGAATTCCTCTACATCATCACTCCAAAGAATGAGGGCAGCCACTGTGCAGGGCAGGTCAGCCTGGCCGCGTCCCGGCCCCTCTCCCGGCCCACGCCAGCCAGCTCCCTCGGCAGCTGGTGCCCACTGCAAAGCTCTTGCCTCCCGTCTCCTGCTGTGTTTCTCTGCACCCTGCACCCTGGCCCACAGATGTGATCCGAGATCACTGAGCTGTCTCGTGGTGATGGCAGTGGACAGGCGTCACAGCTGCCTTGAGGATGTGGGAGACAGAACTGTCTAGACAGGCCACCCCTCCCCCACCCCCCGCCTCTCCTTGGTAAGGCGTGGACACAGTGCCGGCCTCGGGTCCTCCGGGGAGGAGGCATGGCTGGCACTTCCCCTGGAGTGCAAGCATTGGGCCTGGCCAATGTGAATGGCCTCTCCACATCACACAGCTGGACGTGACGGCAGGTGTGGGCACAGCTCCTTCCCCCTCCGCCCACCCTGGAGGCCCGGCCCTGTGCACATCTCTGCAGACCCTGTCCTGGGCCAGGCTGTGGACTGCTGCTTTCTAGGTCATGCCTTGGCATTCCTGGCCCCAGGTATGCTTCCTACCTGCTCCCACCCAAGACCCTTTGGTGGATGCAGGGCCAAAAGATAAAGGGAGGAGGTGGAAACAGAGGAGAGGCTTGGGGATACAGCAAAGATAAGGAAGACTGGACTCTTGCCACTCTGCTACTGATCTGTCCAATCCAGTGGGAGAAGGACACATTGTTCCCCCAGGAAAACAGGGGCTTTTTGTTTCCAGAGCTCTTGCAACAACCATGCCTGTTTTCTTGCTTTGCGAGGTCTTAGGATGGGAGGGAGAAGCGTAGGCGGAAGTCTACAAGAAGGCAGCTTTCTACATCAGGAGTCCACCTGCTACAGACACCTGCAGTGACTCCTGGTGGCCTGTGAGACTGTCCCCTCCATGCAGGACTGTCCCCTCTCCCATAAGCCCACTGGGCACGTTAACCCTGCCCCACAGCCCTTCCTTCCCCTAATCATTTACAAAGAGCTGGTGGCTGGGGTGGGAAGGAATGCCAGTGGAGGGTGCATGCTCTGCTTGTCCTTAACTTGCACAGTTTTTAAAAATAATTTCCTATTTTACCGTGAAATGAAACATACACAGAGAAAAATTCAGAACCTCTAAGTCTAATAATTCCAACACGGTGAACAGTGTGTAGCCAGCACACAGGCCACACTTGTCCCCATGGTCCTGGGCCAATCTAACCACAGCTTCTAGAGGAAGTTGGCTTGGTTGTTTTTGCATGCCAAACCTGAATCTTACCCTCAGTTTCCCAGAAAGTCCTAGCATGAGATAAAACCCATCTGTTCCACTGTTTAGGAAATGCTTTATAGCCCACAACCAAAGTGTGTCCTATCCTCAAAGGCCTGTCCCGGCCGCGCTCTGGTCTAAGCTTGCCAGACAGGCTCCTGAAAAATCAGATCTCATTAAGGACAAGTGTTAATTAATTTATCAACAGGTACAATTATCATTTGTGACAATAACAGAAGCCAACACTGTAGATAAGATGAGCAGAGTACTAACACAGGTTTGTAAGGGCTCTGGTTTAAGCCCTCCCTGGACCCCATTCTCCCTGGGAGCTCATGGTCATACTGCACTTGGTGCAGGCAGGGCGGTGTGTAAGAGGACGGCCGGCAGGCGGGCAGGCGGTCAGCGCCTCTAGTTGCTCTTCTCAGTGTGATTTCCCAAGACCAGAGCCCGGGCCTGCACCCTGTGCCTGCCCCACCCAGGTACTCAGGTCCTCATGCCAGTCCCTGGGGTGACAAAAATAGAGGCCGTGCAGACATGCTGACTGCATTCAGGCAAAAGTGAGGCAGAAAAAGGAGTCTCTCCGCTCCCACACTGTTTCCTGTGTGAAGGAAACACGCCATGGAGGGGCCTTCCACACTTGCACACAGCCTGGCCGCATGTGGACACCGGGGCCCTAGAGCCTGGAACGTACTGCAGAGGTACACTGACCAGAGGTTCTGCAGGGTTCTGACCACAGTTCTGTGCTGCACCAGCGTGCTCCAAAGCAGAATGTGAATCAGTCCTGCTCGTGAATGAGCTTTTCCACACTTCACTCTCCAGAGGCCATGTGCCTGGCATCTGAGATCATCACTGGCTAACAGAGACGTGGTGGAAGGGCTCAGGTAGGACAGCCACGTCCTGCCCTCTCTGGGAGCAAGAGTGTGCAGTTAAGTCCCCTGTGACAGAAGAAAAAGAAACTTCTGGGAGGTGCTGTATTCCAAGTGGGATTTTTGCATCACTTTTGAAAAACAAGCAGCAAACATGAAACTTACCGGGGTTGCAGTCTTCTGTGTAAACAGCTGGCCGGGACTTCTCAGATCCAAATACAACGCCTCATCTGTAATGACTCAAGATTTTAGTAACCCTGGGCTAAATGCTGGAGAGCTCCCCCGCATCGGGAGCGTCAGGGAAGCCAGCAGGGCAGGGCCCTTCCCTCCGGACGCAGCTGGACGGCTGCCAGGCTCCCACAGGGCAGCAGCAGCCAGAAAGAAAAAATAAAAGATTTCTGTATTTTTCATCCCTGCATTTAAAATGACTGTCAGGTAGCCCTTTGTTATTAATGGCTTAACTCATGTTACATATGAACTATGTGTGTTACTTTTAAATAATGTGTTATTTTTTTGGAGGGGGGGGTCTGGTCGTGGGGCCTGAACTCTGGG